TACTTACAATCAAATATCAGAACATAACGGCAGTAATATTATACATGTGGAGTATATTTGTATACTGTTTATTTCCATAATATTTGTAATCTTTGATTATGGCAAAGATTCCAATCTATTTATAACCAAAAATACCACATGCCTACAATTACTTTTACACCCCCTATTTAAAAAATAAACTTATTTAGCATTAAATTCCTCATTAATCTCATCCATCCATTTCAATTTTACAAATGGATGGGATGTCATCTCACCATCTCATTTTATAAGGGGGTCTCATGGGATAACTAAACTATTTATACATAGAAAAAGAGAGACTAAAGCGGTAATCACGAGGAGGAGAGGAGAAAACAGATAACGTGCATGCAAGAGAACGGAGAATGACGTCCAATGAGGCAACGTGGATGGTGGTGACAACATGTTGTCCTATTGGATTTGAGACACAAATAATTTATGTCCTAACACTAGCTGTCAGCAGAAGCACTGCACGCGAGGTCTGGACGTCCATTGAAACCGCACTTGGCTCCTCTACTCGAGTCCGGTGTCTGAATCTCCTCTGGCAGTTCCAAGCCCTTCGCCAAGGTGACAGCACGCCATCGGAGTACTTAGGACGTGCCCAGTTGCTGGTGGAGGATCTCGCACTCACCGGCCGTCCCATGGCGTTAGACGAACAAAACCTCTACGTCTTCTGGGGACTTCGGTTGGAATTCCGTGCAATGGCGGCCACCCCTACCGTGTCCAGTAACCCAGTCTCCATCCCCCAACTATCCGATTACATGCAAGCCCAGGCTTTCATTCATTCTGACGAGTTTTCGATGGGGGAAGCAGTGGCGTCAATTGGCTTTCCGTAGGCGATGTATGCGGGGCGTGGCCGACGATAACATGATGATGGTGGATCAGGGTCTGACAGACAACATTGCGGTGGTTAGGGCCATGGTGGTCGCTGTGGACGCGGTGGTCAGGGCCGCGACCGAGGAGGAGCGCCGCGGTGCCAGATTTGCCGCTCGCAAGGCCATACGGCGGTTTACTGTTACCGCCGGTATTTGGACGCTCCGCCGGCGCAAGCACACGTCGCGGTCACCGGTGATGCAAACTCCACGCCGGACGTCACCTCGTGGTTCCCGGATACCGGAGCCTCGTCGCACACCACACCGGATGCCGGGGCTCTAATGCACACTGAAGATTACAATGGCGGGGACGTCCTTCGAGTGGGCAATGGTACAGGTTTGGGAATTTCTGGTATAGGTCATGCTTCAATTTCGTCAGTTTCAAAGTCCCTCCGTTTATCTAAAGTCTTACATGTCCCTGAGTTGTCTGTGTCGTTATTATCTGTAAATCGTTTTGCTATTGATAATAACTATTATTTTGAGTTTCACCCGTCATTCTTTGTTGTGAAAGACTGAAAAACCAAGGATGTGCTCCTTAAAGGACCTAGTGTGGGGGGTCTCTATACACTGTCTGTCCCGGCGTTTGGCACCAACGTTTGGGTCACCCACACGGACGTGCTCGACAGCGTGTCTTACAAGGTTGCCCAGTCAAGTCAAATAAAGAGGAAATTCCCTGTTTGTGTTCTTCCTGTCAGCTCGGGAAATCACCTCGGTTTTAGGGTAGCTTATTCTAGCAATAACATGTTAGATCTCGTGTATACAGACATTTAGGGACCTGCACTCGTTGTTTCTACGGAAGGCTTTAGATATTTTGTACTCTTTGTAGATGATAATACCCATTTTTGCTGGTATTATCCCCTACAATTAAAAACTAACATCTATAAAGCGTTTGATAGTTTCCGGGCTATGATAGAACGTATATTTTCACGTTCTATCAAGTCCATCCAGTCCGATTTGGGGGGGGGGGGGGGGGGGGGGGGGGGTACCGTCGGTTACATACAGTTTTCACTTCGCTTGGATAGTGCATAGGCAGTCTTGTGCCTACACACACGAACAAAATGGCCGCGTAGAACGTCGGAATCGGCACATTGTCGAAACTGGCTTGGCTCTCATGGCTGAAGCGTCAGTCCCACAACGACATCGAGACTATGCGTTTGAAACGGCCACATATCTTATAAATCATCTACCCACTCCTGTCCTACAAAATGATACACCATTCTTCCGTCTACATAAAATGCCACCCACTTATACTTTTCTACGTGTCTTCGGGTGTCTGTGCTTTCCCTATCTAAGGCCATACAATCTCCATAAGATAGAGTATCGCTCAGCCCCGTGTGTCTTCTTAGGCTATCCACCATCCTTTAAAGGGTATTGTTGCATGGACCTACATACCGGGAAAACCTATATCTGTCGCCATGTCTGCTTTAACGAGTCTGTTTTTCCTTTTTCAACAGCCTAATCATTACAGGATGCGTCCACGAATACTGGGGCCAGTGCTCCATGGGGTGTAAGTCCCGTGGTTTCAGGACAGTTGGCACAACTCCAACTCCCGACACCGCCACCAGTTACAGCTGCACCAACTCGTGCATCGAGGCGAAGGGTACCTCGCACCGAGCCTCAACCACATGCACATGTCATGAGGCTTTGTCACATGACACAAGGCACCGGTGAGCAATTTCATGCTCTTACGGTTACCGACTCTCCTGCTGACCCAACCCGCTACACCCAAGCCGT